AGCTCCATGAATACCGCAAGTGTTTCCACGATATCAATGATCTGAATACAATAAACATAAACAAAAAGAAAGATATCAATGGTCATTGATCATGGGGCATGGAAACAGAATAAACGTAGATTGTTTTTCCTGGAAATGCAAACACGGATATAAAGTTTGCAATCTCTATTGAGAATTATGCATTATGCACTGAGACTTCTGTAAAGCCTACGGAATCAATCAGTAACTATGATCCTTATGTAATATCACAAACACATTTTATTTGTATACATCCGATGTCTCAAATTACTCAAGCATATTCCACCATTACTTTTCTACAATAAAACACAAAATGGCACAGTGACACAAAAGAAATCAGCTAAAACATGAAGCTAAAGGGGGAATCAGTGTTGTAGAGCCAATGAAAACATGTAACATCGCATGGAAAATTAGGATATTGCAAAGTTGAACTCAACCATAACATCTATAACGCGATGCGACATTAATGCAGATAGATAAATACTATATCAACATACCCTGAAAAGCCTACCTTTCGATTGACCAGAAGAATCAGAGCTTGGGTCACAGGCACCCTAAGACGTGATGGAAGGTTCTTGGCCGAAGACTTGAGAAACTGAACCAATTCATTGGGAAACTGAGCCAAATCTTTCGGGTATGAAGGAGTAACGTGGGCCAAAAACATGGCTCGATCACCCAAATCCTTAGCGACTGTGTTATCAGCGGCTACTCCACTCATCGAGTTGAAATTCAAAGCGGCTTGCTGGTGATAGAGCTCAAGAGATGACTTGAATTGATTGTAAACAAGGCTTAGCTCCGAGATATAGCCTTCCGGGTCGGATTTCATCTTGGATTGCAGCATTGGAAGATTGAGCTTTTCCGAGGCCCCGCTAGAAGCTGCTATTGAGTCAGCATCGGGAAGCGACGCCATTTAAACTCCGATGGGATTTTTTGGAAGGAAGAATGCAAAATCCTAGGAGAAAATGGGCTTTTTGAGTGTTGACGGGAACGAGCCGGCAAGCGGTCGGCGACTGGAAGTGTGGCTGGCGGCTGACGACTGAGGTCTGAATTTCAGGGTTTATTTTCGCGTCTTGATGGGAACGAGAACGTATGGGTAATCTTCTAATATATATATAAGGTTAATTGGGATTTAAAATCGTAACATTTTGTGTAATGGTAAATAAAACTCAATTTTTTCAATTTTGAAAAAAAAAATATCAAACATTTAATAAGTATTATAATTGTGTCTCAAAATCAGTTTTCGATCATACTAAACCTTGAATAAGATGACCGGAAAAGTCGCCGCCGGAAAAAGTCACCAGTTCCGGTGAAGGTGAACGTCACTAGATGCGACTTTGCGAGAGGAGTTCAACGGTACCTTCGGATTACATGGATCAAAGCGAGTCACCGGGAATTTGCGAAAGAATGTCGGAAAAAATTTGAAGATCTACGATTTTAACCAAAAAATTGGAAGCCTTATCATCCGAATTTTTTCGTGAAACTCGGATATGTTGTCGGCAAGAAGAAGAGCTACAAGATGATGTAAAAGTTTTCAACATCCGGCGAAGTTGGCCTGCAGGGGGGGCGGTTGGCGGCGACGGTCCGGCGGGTGAGACACAATTTCAAGCCTACAGAGAGGAGCATTTTTCTCTAGTCCTCGAGCGCCTCAAGAAAACGACGTACAATACTATTTTTAAATACTCAAATGTTTGAGCTTCATTTTTTTCCCGATCGTGCATGTACTGATGTCTAAGGATTCAAATGAGCTGAGTTGAGCTGAGCCTAGTCGAGCATTGACCTTATCGAGCAAAATTGGTTTTTTTTTTTGCCTGCTCGAGCTTAATTTATGACGCTCGAGATCAACTCCACAAAAGAAGACAATAGCTCGATCGAGATCGACTCTATCAAAATGCTCGAAAGATTGCTCGATCTCGGCTCGAGTTAGACTCATATTTCAAGTAAAATTACCATTGAGCTAATATATTTAATATTGTAATATTTATATATAAGGGGTAGTTTAGTAATTCACAACTTTCTCGCTGCTCGACCTTCCAAAACCTATGCTCGAGATCGACTCGATAACATGCTCGAGCCGAGCTTTGACTCGAGCACTTGCGAGCTGCTCGATTCGTTTGCAGTCCTACTTACATCTCATTCTCACTCTTTCTTTCTTACAGAGCACTTTCGCCGGAAAAGTTGAGAAAGATGGGAAAATGCCCTCTTACACCAGAAGAAGCTTCACTTGTGCTTGCCGGACTTGGATTTGATCGTGACACGTATGTCTATCTCGCCGGATCACAAATCTACGGTGGAAAATCGAGAATGCATCCTTTAACAAGTCTCTATCCGAATATTATAACAAAAGAGGATCTTCTTTCCCCTAGTGAACTTGCACCTTTCAAGAACTTTTCTTCTCAGGTAATTAGTAATAATCATCATTCAAATGCTATTTAACTTTTCAAAATTACCAATCAACAAAAACTCAATGTATTTATTAACTTTTTTTAATTGGTGCAAAAAAGCTTGCGGCTTTGGACTTGATCGTGTGTGCCGTTTCGGATGTATTTGCAATGACATACTCGGGCAGCCAGCTTTCGTCTTTAGTTTCGGGTTTTCGGGCTTATTACGGCGGAGGGAATGGGCCCACATTGCGGCCGATCACGAAAAGGCTGGCGGCAATCTTGCCGGAAAACGGCACGTTACGGTGGCACGAATTCGAAGGCAAAATAAGGAAGATGATTGAAGATGGACAAAGAGTGCAAATTAGAGGTTCTAATAGAAGCATTTATGAACAGCCCAGGTGCAAAGAGTGTATGTGTAAAAACTAATAGTAAAAACACAGTGTGATTGGCAATCTTTTTTTTTTCTTTTTTTTTTT